TTTTTTTTTTTTTAAATAAAAAGTTAATTCATCTCCTCTTTCTATTTGTCTACAAATTCCACTAACTCATCAAAATATATATAAAAAAAATCATTATTACATATTTCCAACAAAAGACGCTATTCATTTATTTCTATATTTCTAACTTTCAAGCTTTGATATTTTGTTGTTTTTATATCATATCAGTTGGACTCATTGCATTTCTAGATCTATATCATACTATCACATTTTTCTCATTTTTTTTTTCTATTTTCGGATCAAACAAAAATTTCATACCCAATTGGCAGTGGCCTTTCAAATTATTTTTGCTTAATATTGCTATATGTAAAATCTGCTAAAATAATAAATCAATATATAAGTTTGCTATTAGTTGTTTTGTTTCTTTTCCATACTTTGATCATTTCTTCTATTTCTTATACTTTCATTATTTTCTTTGATTCTTTCAGATTTTTATATTTACACGAACTTAAAAAATAATAATTTATAGTACTAAGTAATTATAAATAGAAAATCCATTTAAAAACAGCAGTTAATGCTAAAATAAGTCAACATGTATTTTTTTATAAAATAGGAATAGTATCAAACAATTGTACAACGTATAAAAAAAGAGAAAAAAAAAAAATGTTTCACTTTTAAATTCCCAATCTACAAAATAGCTGGGCGAAGTACGTATAACCAATTTATGATATCACACCAAACAATAACTTAGGTTATATAGTAGAAAAGCATACGTACCTTAGATCAAATCAACAAAGCTGTCTCATGTCACTTTTCTTCGAGCCCTATCCGTTATATAGATCCACATCTACAATAATAAAGAAGAAAATGAATTGCATATAAATAAATAATAATAATAATAATAATAATAATAATAATAATAATAATAATAATAATAATAATAATAATAATAATAATGTGGAGTATAAGATTCAAGATATATCATAAAGCTATGAATTCGAAGGACTATACTTTACTTCTTTAGTTGTACTCAGTTGCCCAATTCGTGCCTAATAGAGCATCACTGCACTTATTCGTGGTCACTTATCAGTTACCTTCACATGTGCAGATGCATACTGACAATATATAAAAAACATATGTATATATGAACCAAATAATATACTATGTATCTATAATTTAAATAGGAATCACACATTCATGTAAAGCTCATAAGAAGGATATTATTTACTTTATATTTGGTGCTATTAAATTACATATATATATATATAACACGTTGCATACATAACCTTGTCTTGAAATATCACAAGCTAGGCAAGTTCAAGATGCTCTCTCCTTTTCATTTTTTTATGGAGAGAATAAATTAAAGCTGATAATTTGCAAAGACCCGCATTACAAAGTTCACAAGAAAGCTCCATCCTAATCAATAGTTTATAGAACTAACTACTACGAGCAACTCATATATGCTAATCAACATGAGTTTGAGAAGGGAATCTATGTATGTGATCGTTATTATAAAACTCATACAAACCCTATTATTATGTATTTAAGTGCAACTTGTCGTTACTGCTGCCTGCAACTATCTAGCTATGAATGTTGGATCTTGTATTTGCATATATATGGTCAATTAAATAGATAAATTAGATTTATAATTGTCCGTTTTCAACCGTAGCAACCTAATAAATCATCTAAAATATACACCTTTTAATCATGAAGTTAGCAAATAGATTTGATTTTTTTTTCCCACATCATTGTTATTATTCTTATGTACACATTACAAAAATTGGATAAGTAGATGGATTAGATTAGATATAATAACATAAGATTCTGGGGAAAAACAAGTATTTAATAATATGAACAAGTTGCAATAAAGAAATGGCACACAGTTCCCGAAAGTCCAAACCTCAAGATTATTTGTGAAACTCATCCAAAATAGTTCAACGAAAACAAAAACTAAAAAAAACAAGACTCACCGACCCTCCTTTTTGTTTTGTTCTTTTTTTTTTTCTCCTGGNAACTAAATTTACACCATTATTATCTGACCTCATGAAACCCTAATATGGTGGCCGTCCTCCTCCGGCGGAGTTCCCCCAGCCGCCTTCCATCTGACGCTGCCCACCGTTGGGCATATTCAGAAAGGGAATCCCCAGCGAGGGATCTGGAAAGTGACTGCCTCCCGTGATCGCCTCAGAAGCTGGTGCCTGCATCTGAATCCCGTTGGGCGCCGTCTCCTCCTCCTCCAGCGGCAGCCTCTCGTACGCCACGTTGGTGAACGACGCCGCTATAATAATAACTGGGCCAGACGCAATGAGTGGGCCCACCACATTCCCTCCCACCACCTGCCCCTGTCCCCCCGCCAGGTACACCGCCAGGGTGGTGGCCCCTGGAGGCGCGGGCGGAGGCAGGAACGACCCGGACAGCGACAGGATCTCAAAGCGTCCCTGAAGTGCGGCCACCACACCCCCAGCCGACGCGGGCTGTCGCAGGCTGACGTTGGCCACCGTGCCCGTGCCGCTCAGGACGCAGATCCCGCGCTGCCGCCGCCGCGCGTAGGCAGCCACCGCCTCGAACACGTCCGTGCCGCCGCCCACCTCGAGTATGTGGGCCCGGAGCGTGTTGGCGCTCTCCCGGGTGATGATGACGGGGGGCTTCGGCTTGTTCTTGGAGCCCGGGGGCCGGCCGCGCGGCCGGCGGGCCTCGGCTGCGTCCGGGTGGGAATTGTCGGCGGATAAGTGGGGGTTGCGGTTGGACTCATCCTCGGAGTCGTCGGGCCTCTGGAGATGGAGGTCCGGCCTTTGAAGCTGAGACATAAAGTGGGATGCCGAGCCTAACTCCAAACCAGCCATACATACGATTTTATCAAAAACACGGATACAACAGGAAACCAGCAAATAAAATAATTCTTTATATCGGAATAAAGAAAACCCAAAGTTTAATTATTAGCTACTGTGATTTCCTATTTTTGTTAATTTTTTTTTCCCCTTTTTTTGGTGAATGAATAAAGAAATGAAAGCAGGAACAGTTGAAACCCTAGGATGAATAGAAAAAACTCAAGGGGAGGATAAAGGAAATGTTGATGAAGAAATGTAGGGAGAGAGAGAAAGAAGGGACCATCTCAAAGCTCTAAAGTAAACTGTGATGTATATAATATTTTTAGGGGGGGATGGGAGAGAGTGAAGGTCATTATATTTTGTATCATACTTTTTATTAAAATAAGATCATCATAGAATAATTTATGTTCACAAGCAATAAGTATAGAGTATTTTCAAAAAGACAGGCACTTTAGCGAAGATTGTTGAAATTTGTGATCATTAACTAATACATAAGTGTAACGTAAATATATAAAAACGGAAAATGCTAAGATCCCGTTACGGGATGGTTCCGTCACTAATGTTTTTCAAATAATCAAGACATATACGCACGGATTGGCTATTAATTATTAGATATTGAATTGTATTTTATAATAACAACTAAATAAATCGGCTCAAAATAAAGTTCATAACCTTGTATATCCCATTATACATATATAGTTCTAATGTGAATTAAATTAAATGTTAGATCCTTAATGTTTAACAAGTGATAGACAATTTTTTTTACACAATGCACGCGCTAGCGCCCGCGAGGACCACTTGCCGCACACTCGAGACCACGTGGGCTAGCCAACGACCTTGGGAGTGACGTGGAACCTAGCACTCGCTACCACGCGAGCTCGCCCTCGACCTCGCGAGTGCCGGCATACAGCGCCTGTGCCCCGCGACCTCGCGAGTGCCATCAAGGTCGTGCTCGAACCCCGCGACCTCGCGAGTGCCATCAAGGTCGTGCTCGAACCCCGCGCCCAAGCCAGCGACATCGCGAGTGCCACCTACTCGCGCCAGCGCCCTGCCACCTTGATGAAGGATCGTGTGTTCCGCTCAACTCGAATGCTTCGAACCCAGCGCCGACGCCTTGGTTTCTAAGCCATAGGTTGCTAATACGCACGCCAACGCCTTCGTACTTGGCGATAATGTGACGAAACTCAGATGTTGGTCCTATTTCTATCAAGAACTCTATGCAAACTCACGAGAGAAAACACACGAGAACTTTGAACAAAACGTTCGATTTTCTATTAACTCATCAATCTTATGAAATATTAAGAGTACATGGGTATTTATAGATGCTAAATAAATCTAATCCTACTCCAACTAAAATACTAAATCATGAAAGAGAATAAAATCCTAAAGAAAGTAAATATCCTATCATCTAAGAATTACTATGCAAATAAAATACTAATAGGCACATGCCTTTTATTTAAAATCCTAACTATACTAGAATTCCTAAGAAAGCTAAGTAAATCTTGCCCCAAATCTTCCTTGCTTGCTCCTCAAGTCGGTCAAACCCTAACCGTCGGCTGCGTCCGTGCCTAGTCCTCGTTGCCCTCGACATCGCCCGCATTCGTGTTGTACGCACGCCCCGCTGCCGGCGTCGCGCGCTCTTACCCCATCACCCGAGTGTGCTCTTCCCTGCGCGAGTGCCGCGCACGCCAACTCTCCCGACATCACGCTCGCGCCCCCTTGGTGCCCCGCGCGCTGCATTGCGCCCCATCGCGCCAGCTCGGCTGATCCCGGCCGTCCCATGTGCACGTTGTCCACCCTACATCTATCCCTCGTGCACCGCGCGTCTTAGCCTCCATGCGTCGTGCGCGCCGTTCCTTCGCGCACGCCTTGCACTAATTGCCCACCTTGCCGGGCCTCGCCATTTCGAACTCGTCGTCAGCCCATTGCGCATCCTCGCTCGCACATCCCGTCGTGTAACCCTTCTTCACACGTTCTAGACTTGCGCGCCTCGCGGCTCGGCTGTCGTGCATTGCCGGTGCGCGTACCGTACGCCCGCCATGTGCGCGTCTCTCAATGCGTGTATGCACCCTTTTTCCACTCCCTCGGGCCCTTTCTTGCCTATTCGTGCGCCATTCTTCTAGGCCATCATAGGCAAGGGCGAATTTACATTAGTGATAGGGGGCAACCCCCCCCCCCCCCCCCTCTCAAATTTTAATTTTTCTTACTATTACTATTAAAAATTTTAATTTGCCTCTTCAAATTTATTTTTGCAGGCAACTTGTCCACAATTTTCAATTAACAATTCGACGCTTCTTTTATTTTACTATTAATTTTGTATATTAATATTCATCATTATATAATTTTAATTGGCCCACATAAAAGACTTCAACTCCTGGTACTTTTTGACCGAAAACTGAAAATCGAATCGAAATAAACCGAACCGATGAGAAAATAAACCGAATCGAACCGACTTATGTGTAACGGTAATCGAAAATCGGTTATCGAAATGTTATCGATTTGATATCGGTTTTAAAACAATTAGGGTTTGGTTCTGAACCCATTATATCATGTCTTTTGCCCCTGATCATAGGTCTCGTCCTCGGGCTCTCCTGGGTCGATGACCACATCTTCATCACACCTGTAGCCCGCACCCCGCTCCCAGCCAGCGACCACACAAGTGCAGCGCTCGTGCGAACTCGTGACCCAGTGGGCGCTTTAGCCACGTCGCGAGTGTTTCTTAGTAAATGTGTGTATTTTTAGTGTGTGGTTGTAGTGTAGCTATAAATAGACATTGTGATTTGTATTTTGGACATCACTCAGCATTTCCCAACTTTTTAGTTGGGAAATTAGCTCTCTTTTTATTTTTTCTCTCTCTAGCTTTGTGTAGGAGATCCATTGTTTGTCCCATTTTTGTTCTATTTTTCATATTTGTTTTGTTTTTCCTTTTCACCTATTTGAGGTATTTTCTTTTTTAGTTCGTTTTGTGTTTTGTTGCGTTTTTTTATTTATCTTGGGCTTTTCTGTGTTTTCGTTAAGGTTTCTTTATTTTCTTCGTCTTCTTGTCATTTTTGGTGTGCAGATCGGGAGCTTCGAGTGGATATAATTTCAAGAATAAGTTGGCCATGAAAACATAATTAGGTAGAAGGGTCCGTTGGGGACGTGTAGGAAAAAGCGGAACTCAATCTCGAGTTCGGACGAGCTCAAACGAGCCCGAAACGTAAAGGCACGCACTGCAGCCCAGTTTTGTTCACCGCGGACAGCGGAGGATTCCCGCGGTCGCAGAACTCTTCTGCAGCTGAAATCTCGTGGCCTCAGAGATCTCCACGGCCGCGGAGGTCACGACCAAACTTATTAAAACCTTTTTTCTGCTTGATTTTTGGAGGACTTTGAACAGGGGCTCATCCCCAAGCCTAAAGGAATCACCCAAACTTGTTTCTGATAAGTTTTTCTCTCGTCCCAACATGTTTTTTCTCTAGTTTTTCATATTGAATTTGATCTTGGAGGGTGACACTCCAAGAATCGATTTGTAAATAGTTTCTTAGGATAATTTTCTCCACTTTTCTTTTTTCTCATGCTTGGATTGTTGGAAACAAAGACTTTGGAATCGAGCTCTTGCAAGTCCTAATTCGATTGTAAGCTTTCAATTCTATTTTATTATTGTTGATTGGATTACGTTCTTCGATCCGATTAACATGAAATTGAATCCAAGAATAAGGTAATACATTCACCTAGGGTTAGGGATTTTGATTCTTGTTTTGAATTATGTTTAATGTGTTTTGTTCAATCTATGTAAGTTGCTTTTAAAAAGGGGCTTTTCAATTCTCATTCTCGAATGTTGAATGTTGTTGAAGAGTGACACTTCAATTTGCAATTGTTTTTCAATTGGATATGATTCATTCGCGTTTGACTATGTTAATTCCAATAGATTAGTCGATTAAACCACCGTCTAGTCTAAATTAGTTAACTCTTAGAACCAAAAGGGGAGGAGTTGATCGATCTAGGCACGTATAGAGTAGACTTGTTCGTAAAAGTATTGTCTATGTGTTGCTTGATAGAATGAGTTTGTCGTCTATATGTGCGCTCTTGTTACGAAAAGTTATTGAGCATAAACCTCTATACGTGTAGGCTTATTGAATCATGTAACTGAACAAATATGCGTTCATCACAGTTTAGGACTTGATGGGATTTCCCGACCCCTAGAACTTCTTCTAATTCTCTAGCAATTGAGTTGTTATTTCTTTTATTGCTTTTCTAGTTCTAGTTAGTTTAGTTAATTCTCCTTATCAATCGTGATTAGAGTATTTAGGATTTATTTTTTGTTTGTGTGTAATCGACACCAATTTTTGATTCTGAAATGCCTTCCTCGAGAGATCGACACGGGGAACGAATCATTCGATTCGACACTTGGTAATAACATAACTTGCTACAACATCCATGACTCAATTTTTGCGGAAAAATTCCGGCAACGTATTTTTGTTCATGATTCGAGTTTTCCGCATTATTTTCATCTGAGCTTCCGATAGGAGAGTAAGTACCTTGACTAGGGCTTATTACTTCGAGTTTGTTTTCCTTCTTGCTTGTTGAGTTGGTGTTTTGGCCGGAATCTTGTGTGATGCTCGATTTTAGGACTTTACTTTATTTTCATTGCTTGCGTAAGTGTGTTAGAAATTCAATACTTGTTTATCTTGTGTAAAGGTCTCGACTTTTCTCAAAGAGTGATGATTTAGTTATGAAAGCTCGTGTTAGATTACCTATGATCACTTTGCTCGCATGTTTTCTCATGTTTATTTTTTGTTTTCTTGAGTTATGGAGAATCCAGTCAACCTAAGTCCCAATCCTTTCTCTTAAAATCTAATCTTTCCTTAAACGCTTTCATTTTCTTAGCTTAATGTAGTTTAAATAAACCCACAACCAAGCGAGTAGCATGTTTAGGACCTTATTTTTTGTTTTGTGAATCGACAACTAGATAATGAACGAAGCTCCGAACGACCTTCCTAGAGAGACATGACCTGAGTGAGATCTTTCGATCGTAC